GGATAGGACATACTCTGCGAAAAGCACTTAACTGCGTCACAAGACAAGCCCTCATATGGAATCCTCTAGGTAGAAGGAAAAGAGCAAGGTCAAGGAACACATTACGCCAACAAATAGGAAAAGATATAAGGGGAATGAACAACCATTGGACAGAACTGGAGAGAGAGGCCCAGGACAGAGTTGGTTGGAGAAAACTGGTGGGTGGCCTATGCTCCATTGGGGGTAACAGGCGTAAGTAAGTAAGCAAGTAAGTAATCTTCTCCAACCACAAACGCGTAATAAAATATTACAGAAGTTGTTTTTATATGTGCGTCAGTTCTCGCTTATCTGTTTACCATATGAACAAATTTGTATTTGTAAACACAAGCAGTTTAATCTAACCCTATAATTTTGTTTACCAAGAAGGCTGAAGAGATGAAAATATTCGTTTCCAGTGTGGATAAGTTGGTTACAGGCTTATTAAGACATACAGTTATAGTCTGTGATTGCTTCCCAGATATTTCCCTGTTCCTGAACCTTTATTCCTGTTTGTTGCAACAGTATAAGAGCATAAAATATTGACTAACCTGAAACGAGTTAAAAGCATGTAAATGACTGCAAGATGATGAATCTGCAAATTATTACAGATGATTATTGATATTAAATTAATACACAGCCGTTTTTTAATTAAACAGTTGTGTATTTAGATAGATGAATGACATTCCATACTCTTGATTAATAACAACACAAATACTTTGCATGGTCTGTAGAATTATTTAGGATGCATAGTCATAGGAACCACTGAAGAATGATGATGTGCTTAAAATTTCAGCAGCCTTTCATTCTCAATACTCCATGTCCAATTTCATAGTACACCCGTCTCTCTGACATGTGTAAAAAGGCAGATTATTGTGCCCCAAATCATCCTGATTGATGGGTTATTTGTATTTCTCATAAACCAACATACGAACTAAATTATGAATCTTGGAATCCTTGTGAAGAGCTTTCAAACGTGAAACTTACTTAAAGATCATTGATGATAGTTTTTTTGGCATAACAAAAACTCATTCAACATAGTACAAAGCTTCAAGCACATGATGATAATAATGATATTATTTATTCCCTAATAACAATGTGTCACATGAGGCATATCAGTTTACAGACAAGACCAAGTTGTTAAAAATGCTAGCACATTTACTGTGATAGATTGCTTACTTAGAATAATAATAATATTCTTTTTCTGATATGTCAAGTTTACGCCATTTCACCGACAGGAACTAGTCGATGCAGCCATAATTCCAAAAAATGAATACATAAAGGGCATACAGTACAGACTTATTGAAGGGTATGCATAATTCAAGAGTGATTCAAGAGACGTTAAGTGTGTTTACTTGCATACTATTGGCGTGATGGAACAGGTTCGTAAGCTCACATATGTTAGAACGTGTTGATTTGAAGGCATTTGATACTAGATGTAACTGTGACGAGCGTGACATAAGGAGTAAGTTACGTATAAGGTGTACTATGGTTTAATTGTTGATAGAGTCTTTATAAAAACAAAATGGAAATATAAAAATATACATCCTGGCCATTGGATATGTGACCAGAGCAAGGTTTAACCGTTCATAGTGAAGCAGACACGGTAATAGTTATTGAGTGGACAAAACTCATACAGTGTTGCGTCCAAGTTTTGCTCCTTCCCGTTATTGAAGTACAGTATTTCGATCTATTTGCAATTCACGAACCCAAAGTAACAACAGAACCAAACTCCAAAGTTAGGTACCAAAGTTTATTCGCAATTCACAAACAGTCGACCAACATGTCGTTCTAACAACAATAATTACAATAACTACAAAAACCGTCAATTTTATAGGTTCCTGGAGCAAAAACTCCCAATTAGCAAACCAAGACAAACAGAAACCAAAATGTCCGAAAATAATAAATCAAACAAGTTCATAAGTTAAGTAAAACAAATATACCCAAAAAACACAGTGAAATTAATGATATTTATATAAAGGTTTTAATCAGTCAAATGTCTTCGTTTCTCCTGTAACATACAGGCTGCTAAAATTAAAATAAATTATGGTAACATGAGTACAGCAGTAAAGAATAACTGGTTGCGATGTGAGTCATCGTGGATAGAAGAAAATTTGGAGTAAGTTGAATGTCTGTACATTGAACTCAAAATTTCAGAAAGGAGAGTAAAGTTTGTCGAAAATATACAAAATTATGTTTCTTACTTCCTATATTTTTTCGACAAATGCCAACCTCTGAGTTATACTGTAAGTGCCTGAGGAAATTCAGAGTATCTCGAATAAAGGGGTGAAGATGACCTATATGGTTGCGATATGGGCTTAAAGTTAGGGGATGGTTATGCGACTGCGCATTTTGTTGGTGACAAGGGTTAGGAGGGGACATATTAAATTAATTACTGAAATTTTCAGGAGGGGTTTTTAACCCACGCGAAGGGTAGGAAAGTTGCCTTTTTGAGATTGTATGGGGGACTAACTTTATATTCTGCATTTGGTATGAAATGACTTGATCTGAAAGAGTCGTGGGTAATCCAATTTGCAGCCTACCTACTCTCTATTTGAGGCCCGAAATTTAACCTGTTTACTCTTCCTTATTAGGTTTGGAGAGTGTTTTGGTGTTCTAGATGTCTTCCGATAGATAAGTCCAAATCATCTTGTGTCCTTTCGTGTAATATGTTTGGGAAGACTAGTCTTCAGTTGATTAATTTGAGCTGACTGTGTGTTGTTTTGTGTCACATATTCAAGCAATTTAACGGTCGAACAGCGTGGATTATAAATGCAGGTGCCGTTAGATTTTTCAATGGCAGTAGGGATTCATATTTTGATAAAAGATTTAGAATCCGTCGACTCGTTAAGATTTACAGGGTGATTTGATAAATACGAATCCATTTCTCGTTGCTGATTGATGTGTTTGTCATTCGTTATGGTATTAGGGTTTTTTAGTTGATTATCCGCTATGACACAGCCCTGCGATCTTGTTGCCTCCCGTCTATTTGTACAATGTCGACAACATGTTTAGTCTGGAGTAACTTCCATATCTTAGACGGGACTGATGAGCTAATGTTTTTGCAGAAGCGGATAAATTGTTTGGCGTCGTTACAGAAGTCAAATGTGAACAATAGAGGAATGTTGATTCATCGGAATTTTTTTCGAGGCACCTGACTTGACAACTAACATCTGCCATACCACATGCTTGAAGGCAGGTATCCATTATCTTAATCGGGGATGTGCGGTGACACAGATTATACGCAATCGCCTTGTAGGAAGATGTTACTTATTTTGTGATTTCCTCATCAACAAACTCTAGGATGTATTCAGCTTTAGTTAGTTCCTTGAGGTTTTTATCACTGTTCAAAGCCCATATATGTGTGAGGGGGCTAACGAGCTAAGCTGATCATTAGTAACGGCAAGTGCGTTTTGTAACTATCATATATCGCTGTCACGGTGGTAACTGTTATGATCTGTGGCGGATGGATCACTGAGGCCTTGGTTTGAGAACTTTTAGATTTTGGCTTTACAAGATTATATTGATATTAATTCCGTGTTGATATTTCAGTATACGTTGGTATAGTTCCTCTTAAATCTACGAGTTTCACTGTTGGTATACCAAACGAAGATATGGATGAGTTTTCATACAGAGCATTGCCTAAATTTTTGGATGAGAGGTGCAGGGTTCATATGATGAGGGCATGATTTCCGATTAAAGATTCATCAGACAAAAGGTGTACAGATTTTGACCTTTTTGGTGGTTTTGCAGTTGGTGACATATAAACTGATGTATTCAGAATTCAAGAACGTTTTCAAGCTGTTGCCAGTTTATTTATAGTACTTAGGAATGTAAGTCTACAACAAGTATGTACTAACTGATTAAAGACCTAGAAGATTTGCTTCTTAGAAACAAACTTCGCATAAAATAGAAAATTTGATAATATCAGTACTATACTCTACAAATGAGCGATTTTTAAAACCTCTATACTAGGTCAACAAATGTTATCACGATTTATTGCTACAGTGATTAACTTAGTGACTTTGACTCTGAAATTTTATTTTCAATATATGACTTTAAGTGTTGGTGGTAGATAGTTGATTAAGTTGATATTTTGTCTCTTCGAGATGAGCTGAATAGGGTACACGGCTAGATTACTACTAGATCTCTCCATCTCATTACCAATCAATTCTTTCTGTTATAGATGAACGGTTGTGATGCTTTATGCACCTGATACTTCCTGGATGGTGACCGTACTACACTGTCCTTCTCTGGAAAGGATCTAAGCGTCGTCCTGTTTCATATGACAATCTACTATTGACAAAGCGTACACTCTGAGTGTCTCTTTTTAGAAGACTTGGCACAAACACTGAAACAAATAACACCTGTTTCTAGAGTTTTCGGTAGCCTCACTTGATGAAAGCTCCTTTGTCATGCCTCCATAATCCGAGAAGTATGTCTATCGTGAAGCGAGGTAGGAGAAGAGGATACAAATATTTATGTAGACTGAAATATAAGCCTTGCTTAAATTGCAGCCTGGGGTGTACAGAAGGATTAGGAAGAGAAAAGTTTTATGCATCACACCACTTATGATCTCCTCTATCCTATCGGACATTTGTTCTACAAAGTAATAAACATTATCTTTGTTGACACATTTGAAAACGAACAAGAAAGAGCTTGGGCAAATTTCTTCATGGCGCACCTCTCTAAAAATTGTTACCGAAATTTCTCCTGAGACTCTCAAAAGTAACACTGCATTTCACTCCAGCTTTGTATGTAGTGAAGAATATTACTTCAACTGTTAAATTTCGATCACTTCCAGTGATTACTGCTAATTCTATCCCTCGTTAACAGCAGAAATAAATAATAAATATTTCAGTGCTTGGAAATGCCTTTATTCAGTCAGATGCACACATAATAGGATATTCAGTTCACTAGTTTCTCTAGAAGTGATTGAAGTTTGGATTTCCTTAACGCGGCGATTTCTCTCTTGCGTTACACTGATGGCCAAGAACAGCAGTTCTGTTTTCGACCCATGGAATACTTTTTATGAAACGCCAGAAGAGCAAGCTGTCATAAAAGAAAGGGCAAAGATAAGAGATGCAATGAAGGCTGAGTACAGGAAACGATGCCAAAATCCATTCAACCCTCCAACTGGTCCCGTGGTAAGCAACTTACTATGATAAAAATATTAACGATTGATTTTTTGAATTCTATGGTATGTTAAGTCTATGGTGCTATTTAATCAATATTCTACACAAATTTTTTTGAACGTGATGGCTAACAAATGTATTACAATGATATATACACCTGACCACCAATTGTTTTAGCATCTGTGGGTTAGGAGCAGTAAAGATATACATCGTTCATCTTTTAACCTTTACCACATTTCTACAGTCTACACATAATGGTAATTTTTTGACAGAATACTAACGGCTTATATTAAACCTTGGGGTACTCAGTGCTACGAATTCTGGTGTAGATATGTAGGCTTTAGGCTGTGGCGAGGATGACATTTTGTAGTGAATTACAGTTTACTACTCGGTGGAGAATAAACATAGTTCCAGGCGAAAACGATTCGATACAACTTTCTGAATCTCCCAGAAAGTTTTGTTCTTCACATGACATTAATTTCACAGCAATCTCTCATACGGTAGGCTAATATAATATCGGATCCTACGGTAACATTGTGGGATGAGATCAAAATATTTTATGGTTTGTTGCAATTACATCATACTCGTAATCGTTTCTGGAAACAACCTGTTTGTTTGGCCAACTGGGAGTTTGATTCAAATTGCAACAATATCCTGTCATCGTTGCTGTTTGTAGTTTTCTGTCGTAAGAATGGTATATGAATGACCTTTGATTAGTTTCTGGCCGAGTAAAGTCCGGGTTCAAAACTATTAGGATTCCAATCACAAACCTATAGTCGTAATGCAAGGATGGATTTCGCATCGAAATATGATTATGTCGCCCATACATTTCAATCATAGTTTTTCATAGTTTAGTATCACCTGAAAACATCAAAATGAATGAGTTTGTGAACCATAGTAGGTCATAGATACAATCAAAATGGTATTGGATGTAAAGTTCTACTTTGGGACACTTCATTTCTGGCTAGCTTCCACGAATATAGATTATCCTTTTCTACCTTTTCTATAAATAAGTCTTAGTTATCTAATTTTATATTAAATTCCAAACACTTCCAGCTTCATTTTAGGCATTGTATGAGAAACATTATCAAAACCTCCATTATGATTTAAAAAATCATGAAAGTGGCCCATTCTAAAATTATGTTCTTTGGTTAAAGAATTATTACCTTTTACGTGATTCTGTATAGCAGCGTGAATTATCTTTTTCCATATTTGAGGTATATAATCATGAAAATAACTAGAATTTATATATTTATCAGATGCTCCTGCCTCTGAATACATCATCAACTTGTTAAACATTCTTGACAAGTTAAGTAAATTGGTTGTTCATGGCTAGCGATGGCTAGCGCTCAAATTTCAAACAGTAGATCACAGGTTTGAATACCGTTCCATAGTGTCACCAGCCTTTACAGGCCGGAAAAACCAGTACATGGCACAAACCTATGAAGCTACTCACAAGTGGGCTGAGCCATGTGAATAAGTGTAGACTACCTGATTGGGGTCTGCAAGACAAAAGTAATCGATGTTTAGAGAATGAATGACGCCTCAAAATAGATTACAATGTCTCAGATGCAGCCAGTCGGGCCCTGCTGCTCTCACTTACTTCAGATTTACTGTAGCTTTTCCAACTTCATTAATAGTCAGTAAACTTACATCGATCTCCTATTCAGGTGTGACTGAAGGCCAGTTGAATTGATCACTGAAGTGTTCTGCACATCGGTCCAATCTCATGGGTTGGGAATGAAATTATACGATCAACCTAACAGTCAGGTTCCTAGTACCAACTTCATTGGTCAGTTGGAAGAGTTGTCTACTCAGTCGGTCAGTCAGTTACAACGTAGAAATTCGTACTTACGTACATCATTTCAGGCTGTCATAATGCATCAACACAAAGACGCAACTGTCAGGTCAAATCTCATAATGGTGGTGATAGTAGAAGAATTAGCGGTAGTGGACGATATTAGGAATTGAAGATATTATTCAAGAAGTATAGTTCAGTGAAATAACTTAAGAAAGATAAAGATAGGGATGATGAGGAATTCATAAGGTTAGAATTAGAGAGAGCAAAATGAATGAATGTACCTGCACCCTTTCAAAGGATTTTGATGTATGTCGTTCTAGATCTTCAACCATCGGCGACTCTCGTCTCGCGGACCCCAACCAGGTAGCCTACATCTACCAACTGAGTCAGTCCACTTGTCAGTGACTTCGTGGATTTCTGCCATGTTTTGGTTTGGCTGCCCCTAACTTTCTTCCAACCTACTCCTACACTACAAAACAAAGTTTGTCGAGGTAGTCGGTGGTTAGCCATACGCAACACATGTCCCAACCACCTCAACTGATGAAGTTTCATTACTTCATCTATTGACCTGCCATCCTTACCTAGCACACGCTTCCTAATTACAGCGTTGCTTACTCGGGTGTCCCAGGATATACGAGCAATGCTTCGAAGACACCTATGATCGTAAACCAGTAACCTAAGAGTATCTTCTACTCTCCCTGGCCATGTTTCACAGCCATAAAGTAAGACGGAGCGAACTACTGCACAGTACACTCGTCCTTTGGTTAGCGAACGGATATCTCGCCTGCGCCATAGGTGACGCAGGTTGGCAAAAGCCAATCGAGCCTTCTGTATGCGTGCTGAGATTTCGTCACACACCAGACCATCAACACTGATAAGACTACCAAGATAAGTGAAGCAGTCAACAGGTTCGACTACTTCACTCCCTATCACTAGTTCAGGTACCGATGCAACCCAATCTTGAAGCAACATTTTGCATTTCGAGGGGAAAACCGCATCCCGAACATGCTTGCATTGTTGCTTAGGGTGGTCAGAAGACTCTGCATTTCGTCAGCGTCTTCACCAAGCAGGACTATGTCATCGGCATATTCTAAGTCGATAAGCGAGCCTCCTGGTAATAGGTCTACTCCTGAAAATTCAGACGAGGATAAGGTTATTTCTAAGAGCATGTCTATGATAAAGTTAAACAAGAATGGAGATAGTGGACATCCCTGACGGACACCACTTGGTGTAAAGAATTCCGGTGACAGTTCGCCATAAGCTCTCACTTGACCAGTGGTGTCCGAGTAGAGAGCTTGTATGAGGTTAATGTACTTCTTTGGTACTCATTTCAATGACAGACACTGCCACAGAACCTCACGATCCACTGAGTCAAATGCCGCTTTTAGGTCCAGGAACACAACTATTGTCGGACGTCTAAATGTGTGTCTGTGTTCCAGGACCTGTCGTAGTGTGGAGATGTGGTCTATACATCCACGTCCAGGTCGAAAACCAGACTGGTTTTCTCTAGTCTGCACTTCACGAGCTTTCGTTAAGCGCCGAAGTATTATTGAGGCCAAAATTTTAGATACTATATTAGTTAGATTGATTCCCCTGTGATTGTCACAAGAAGACTTTTGTCCTTTCTTATAAATTGGGACAATCAAGGATTGAGACCAGTCGGATGGGATTTCGTCCAGTTCCCAGATTCTACCTAAGATCTCAGTCAACCTAGCTGCTAAAACTGGACCGCCATCCTTAAATATCTCAGAGGTCAGTCTATCAGGACCTGCAGCTCGCCCTCGCTTCAGATTTCCTAACGCTTTCTCAACTTCATAAAGACTAGGGGGACTTAAATCGATTTGCCATTCAGGATGACTGGAGATCATGGGTAACCGAAGAGTGGCTCGAGGCCAGTTGAACTGATCCTTAAAGTGTTCTGCCCATCGGTCCAGTCTCCTGGATTGAGAATGGATAATAGTCCCATCCTTTTCCAAGATAGTCTCACTTACACTAGGATTCCTAATACCAGTTTCCTTGATAAGTCGGAAAAGTTGTTTATTGTTGGCTATCGCCGCTGCCTTTTCCATCGCTTTCGCTTTCGCCACCCACCATCATTCCAACCTGCCTCCGGATGGGAATCGCTTAAATGGTCGCCTAACTGTCTTTCTAGTTGTTCCTGAAATATATTCTTAGCTTTATTATCATTAAGTAAAACCCTAAGAGGCTTTCTTACGGTATCTTTCCTACGTCCAGTAAGCCTCAAATAAATGCGCGCTCGCACTAGGGCATGATCTGAATCTAAACATGTGCCCCAGAACGAGCGACAGTCTTCTATCGAACCCCTCCATCGGTGGCTGATGGCAATGTGATCTAGTTGGGTCCAACGTTGAGACGACTTTGGAGGTTGCCGGGTCAACAGATGCTTTTCCTTATGCCTAAAGTTAGTGTTTGCCTAGAATTGGCGGTTATCTGAGCATACTTGCAACAGACGGTCTGTTCTCTGAGCCGCGACACCATAACATCCACCTAGGTGTCTCTCCTGCTCACTTAGTTTACCTACTTGAGCATTAAAGTCACCAGCCATTATTACTACATCAGAGCGCCTAGCTTTTTGGAGGAGGTCCGAAAGCTTTCTGTAAAACTCATCTTTCACCTCATCTGAACTGCAGTCAGTGGGGGCATAGACAGACACGACGAAGAGGCAACGACGTATGTCCCCATCTTTACGAGTCCTTACTGTCCCGTTCAGTCGGACGGCGCACAAACGACTATCTACAGGGATCCAGTCTAGGAGTGCTAGTTCTGCCCTACGACTCAATGCTATACCTACACCAGCAAGACCCCGGGAAGCAGCATCACGGCTACCGGATACACGATGAGTAAATCGAACTGCTTCTTTGTTTTGGCAAGGCGAAATCAGATTAATGACTTTACTAGAATCCTGTATGCGCGTTTCCGAGACGCAGCATACATCGATGGCACAAGATTCTAAAGTCCTAGCTAATGATGCCTGTTGCCCTATTTGACATAATGTACGTACATTTTCTAGTTGCTCCTGAATTATATTCTTAGCTATGCTATCATTAAGTAGAACCCTAAGAGATTTCCTCGCAGTGTCTATTTGTCCGTTATGGCTGGAAAAAATACACGCCCGCACTAGAGCATGGTATGCATCTGAACAATGTGTTCTAGAATGATCGACTTTCTACTACCGATCCCCTCCATAAGTGGCTGATAGCTATGTGATTTAGTTGGGTCCAGCGTTGTGACGACTTTGGGGGTCGCCATGTCAAAAGATGTTTATCCTTGTGTTTAAAGTTAGTATTTGCTAGAAATAGGCGGTTGTCTGAGCATAGCTGCAACGGCCGGTCGCTATTATCTGTTCTATGAACCGCGATACCATAAGATCCACCCAGGTGTCTTTCCTTTTCACTCAGTCTACCTACTTGAGCATTGGTCACCCACCACTATTACTACATCAGAGCTCCTGAATTTTGGAGGAGGTTGGGAAGCCTCGTGTGAAATTCATCCCTTACTTAATTTGAGCTGTAGTCAGTGAGACGGTAGGCAGACACGAAGAAGAGGCAACAGCGAGTGTCCCTATCTTTACGAGTCCTCACTGTCCCTTTTAGTCGGACAACGCACAAGCTATTATCAACTGGGATCCAGTCTAGGAGATCTAGTTCTTCCCTACGTTTATAGCATTAGAGTTTACCTAGTGATTATTTTTAAGATATCATATAGCACAATTTAGCGAATACGTGAACATTGATTGATTTTTTTGATTTTAGTTTGCTTACGTTTGTCATATTTTTTTTAGTTTGATCCTGCAGTACAGCGTCAATTTTCAGCTCAGGTTACATACGCAGAGTATTTACGTCCATCTCCCAAATTGGGACTAATCTTTTTCGGGTTTATGGGCGTAGGCGCGGTAACACTTGTAATTAGAGAACAGCTTAAGGTATAGTGGAAATCATTACCGAAATTTTATATTTTATCATTTTAACATTGTTTTCTTGTTGCAGTTTAATCTAATTCGTTTAAATACTTTCTCACTAATCATTTTCTAGTACAGTCATATAGTATCTGTGGCTGGTACTTACGTGGACTTGGCTCTCCGGTTCACATGTCGCAATGACTCAGTTCAGCTTTGTCTACCGAAATAGTTATTCCTGTAGATGGTACCACGTCAAGGAGATCGATTGGATGATGACAAAACTATGGGAAGCATTTTGGGGTCAGAGGGCGAAGACTTACTACTGACTGTGCTGCGGTCTGACGGTAGTAAGACGCTTCCCGCAGATCACTGGAATCGGCATCAATACCTCCCTCCCTAAACGGAAGAGAGGGGTTAGAAAGGGTCACCTTAAAGATGTAAACGGATTTCAGCCTCCGGTTGTAAGACCTTCAAAGTACGAAGTTTACTGTTCTCAAACCACCCACTAAAATGTTGTGTTGACCGGACCGAAGGATTTGTCCATTGGGCTTTGCAGTCTTACCTTGATTGTCCATCTTCGAGTTGATTTGGTTTATTTATCCTTCTTGGGTAGAATTATTTTTGCTTCTTGACAGAAACATGATTCTTAGCAGTTTAACTACTTGTCATACAGTTCGATTGTGTAACGTATTTGTACAAATCGCTGGTTGTGTTAATGGAAAGTACTTTGTACTGTAATTCACCTTGACAATATCGCTTTTATGTATATGTTTCCGCGTCACAATGTATGTGGAAAATCCAGTTGTACTGAAACTCCAAAAATTCTAGCATTGACGGCCTTAATTGATCGGACCTTGTTTCAAATTAGACAACAGGTTTCCTTAACTAAAACTATACGATATAACACTATCGATGTGTTGTATCACCAAATGCATGTATATAAGATGGGATTATGGCCATTCACTTCACCTCACCTAGTCAATATAAAGGACCATCTCGATATAACCTTTGTATATCTGGGATCTTGACAGCTACTTCTTGTGGTGTCACTGGTGTACTTACAGTAGCAAGTTTAAAAGTCGAACAGGCTGGGGAAAGACTCTGAACTTAGGTCAGTACGTGGATGTGTAAACTGAATATTCACTTTCCGTTAGGTTTTAGAATATCAGCACTTTATAATATAACTGTGGTTATGTTCACGTACCTTAAGGCAGTATTTTTGTTAATTAAGAGGTTTCATGTAAGTATTTACCCTTAAAAGGCAAATCTCGTACAATCGCTACTCGAACACTGCTGGTCGAGTTAAAACCTTAAGCTAACTGTCATCAAAATTGCCAACCTCAAATGGGGTTGCCCATTTTATTTATATCTAATTTCTTCATAGAAATATTTTCGTGATAACACCCTTGTTCAAGAAATTTGCTCGACTTAGAATACACAGAAAACATAGTTCTGTTTAGTGAAGAGACGACAAAATGTAGGGTCTTCTGATCACCTTGGGCAACAATGTTAGCACGTTCAGGTTACGACTCTTTCTCTCTTATTGTGAAATGTTACTTTAGGAATCAGCTCTTAAGCTAGTGATAAAAATTGAAGTAGTTAAGTGCATTGACCACTGCAGTTATCTTCGAAATTTCACCAGCCGTAGTGTCTCGACGCGGATTTAAAGCTCTATCGGCTTCTCTCAAGTTGTGTAACCTGTGGCATAGGCTAGCTGTTCCCCGACCGTAGCTGCTACCTTAACGTGGTGGTCGGGGTTGCCTATCGTGATGACCCAACCGAGCTATACTGGCTGGAACATATGTTCCTGAAGTGTTCTACCATGCCAGGCAGGTTGATTGGAGAATGATCAGACTAAAAACAGCTACTCAAGGTCTAAGGGCGAAGTCGTACTGCTGTCTGCAGAGAGGTGTGACAGCAGTAAGGTGTTTCCCTCGGACAACTAGCATCTGCAGCGATGCTGCCTTCTCCCAAGGAAGGAAGGGTTATAAAAGGTCGACTCTAAAAATGTCACACCTCACCTTACCTCACGCATTTCCGTCTCCGTCGGTGAGGGTGGCCACTAAGGGCTTTCAAGAACGAAGCTGATTCTCAAAAACCCTCTCATAAAATGGCCGTGTGTGACCGGCCTCAAGCAGTTGTCCCTTGTACTCTGCGGTCACGCTCCCAGGTCTCTAAGACGGACACTAATCTACCTTCCTTTTCAGGTCCCTCAAGAAACAACCCATCATGGTGTGGGCAGCCGGGAAGTGATAACCGCCCTCATACCCGTAACAGCACGAGAGACCGAATCGGTCGAAATCAAATTCTTCTTACACCCACACATACCTCTCTTCTCTTCACGACTAGCTCTTCTCACATTCATTTATCACAGTGCAAAGCTAATGCAAACGATGCAAGTTCATGAAACGTCGTTCCTGGTCTCTTTAAACCTCGTTCTAGACTACATGTTGGAGCACTTAATGTACGGACATTGTGTCAAATAGGGCAACAGGCATCATTAGCTAGGACTTTAGAATCTTGTGCCATCGATGTATGCTGCGTCTCGGAAACGCGCATACAGGATTCTAGTAAAGTCATTAATCTGATTTCGCCTTGCCAAAACAAAGAAGCAGTTCGATTTACTCATCGTGTATCCGGTAGCCGTGATGCTGCTTCCCGGGGTCTTGCTGGTGTAGGTATAGCATTGAGTCGTAGGGCAGAACTAGCACTCCTAGACTGGATCCCTGTAGATAGTCGTTTGTGCGCCGTCCGACTGAACGGGACAGTAAGGACTCGTAAAGATGGGGACATACGTCGTTGCCTCTTCGTCGTGTCTGTCTATGCCCCCACTGACTGCAGTTCAGATGAGGTGAAAGATGAGTTTTACAGAAAGCTTTCGGACCTCCTCCAAAAAGCTAGGCGCTCTGATGTAGTAATAATGGCTGGTGACTTTAATGCTCAAGTAGGTAAACTAAGTGAGCAGGAGAGACACCTAGGTGGATGTTATGGTGTCGCGGCTCAGAGAACAGACCGTCTGTTGCAAGTATGCTCAGATAACCGCCAATTCTAGGCAAACACTAACTTTAGGCATAAGGAAAAGCATCTGTTGACCCGGCAACCTCCAAAGTCGTCTCAACGTTGGACCCAACTAGATCACATTGCCATCAGCCACCGATGGAGGGGTTCGATAGAAGACTGTCGCTCGTTCTGGGGCACATGTTTAGATTCAGATCATGCCCTAGTGCGAGCGCGCATTTGTTTGAGGCTTACTGGGCGTAGGAAAGATACCGTAAGAAAGCCTCTTAAGGTTTTACTTAATGATAATAAAGCTAAGAATATATTTCAGGAACAACTAGAAAGACAGTTAGGCGACCATTTAAGCGATTCCCATCCGGAGGCAGGTTGGAATGATGGTGGGTGGCGAAAGCGAAAGCGATGGAAAAGGCAGCGGCGATAGCCAACAATAAACAACTTTTCCGACTTATCAAGGAAACTGGTATTAGGAATCCTAGTGTAAGTGAGACTATCTTGGAAAAGGATGGGACTATTATCCATTCTCAATCCAGGAGACTGGACCGATGGGCAGAACACTTTAAGGATCAGTTCAACTGGCCTCGAGCCACTCTTCGGTTACCCATGATCTCCAGTCATCCTGAATGGCAAATCGATTTAAGTCCCCCTAGTCTTTATGAAGTTGAGAAAGCGTTAGGAAATCTGAAGCGAGGGCGAGCTGCAGGTCCTGATAGACTGACCTCTGAGATATTTAAGGATGGCGGTCCAGTTTTAGCAGCTAGGTTGACTGAGATCTTAGGTAGAATCTGGGAACTGGACGAAATCCCATCCGACTGGTCTCAATCCTTGATTGTCCCAATTTATAAGAAAGGACAAAAGTCTTCTTGTGACAATCACAGGGGAATCAATCTAACTAATATAGTATCTAAAATTTTGGCCTCAATAATACTTCGGCGCTTAACGAAAGCTCGTGAAGTGCAGACTAGAGAAAACCAGTCTGGTTTTCGACCTGGACGTGGATGTATAGACCACATCTCCACACTACGACAGGTCCTGGAACACAGACACACATTTAGACGTCCGACAATAGTTGTGTTCCTGGACCTAAAAGCGGCATTTGACTCAGTGGATCGTGAGGTTCTGTGGCAGTGTCTGTCATTGAAATGAGTACCAAAGAAGTACATTAACCTCATACAAGCTCTCTACTCGGACACCACTGGTCAAGTGAGAGCTTATGGCGAACTGTCACCGGAATTCTTTACACCAAGTGGTGTCCGTCAGGGATGTCCACTATCTCCATTCTTGTTTAACTTTATCATAGACATGCTCTTAGAAATAACCTTATCCTCGTCTGAATTTTCAGGAGTAGACCTATTACCAGGAGGCTCGCTTATCGACTTAGAATATGCCGATGACATAGTCCTGCTTGGTGAAGACGCTGACGAAATGCAGAGTCTTCTGACCACCCTAAGCAACAATGCAAGCATGTTCGGGATGCGGTTTTCCCCTCGAAATGCAAAATGTTGCTTCAAGATTGGGTTGCATCGGTACCTGAACTAGTGATAGGGAGTGAAGTAGTCGAACCTGTTGACTGCTTCACTTATCTTGGTAGTCTTATCAGTGTTGATGGTCTGGTGTGTGACGAAATCTCAGCACGCATACAGAAGGCTCGATTGGCTTTCGCCAACCTGCGTCACCTATGGCGCAGGCGAGATATCCGTTCGCTAACCAAAGGACGAGTGTACTGTGCAGTAGTTCGCTCCGTCTTACTTTATGGCTGTGAAACATGGCCAGGGAGAGTAGAAGATATTCTTAGGTTACTGGTTTACGATCATAGGTGTCTTCGAAGCATTGCTCGTATATCCTGGGACACCCGAGTAAGCAACGCTGTAATTAGGAAGCGTGTGCTAGGTAAGGATGGCAGGTCAATAGATGAAGTAATGAAACTTCATCAGTTGAGGTGGTTGGGACATGTGTTGCGTATGGCTAACCACCGACTACCTCGACGAGCTTTGTTTTGTAGTGTAGGAGTAGGTTGGAAGAAAGTTAGGGGCAGCCAAACCAAAACATGGCAGAAATCCACGAAGTCACTGACAAGTGGACTGACTCAGTTGGTAGATGTAGACTACCTGGTCGGGGTCCGCGAGATGATAATTATCGATGGTTAGAGACCTTGAATGACGTGTCTCAAATCCATTTGCAGTGGCGCCGGTGCATTTATTCTTTGTGTTTTCTTAAATCCTAATCTTCTGCATTTTTCAACACCTCTAGTTTTGAGTTTCTAATCTTTTCTTACTGAATCATACTTCTTGAATAATATCTTCTCATCCTAACCGCTTCGATTACTTCTAATACCCTTACTACCTCTTCTACTATTGGATTTGAATTGACAATTACATCTCTGTGCTGATGTGGTATGCCGACATGAACTGATGTGCTTACGTACGAAGTTCTAGGTTGCATCTGACTGACTGACTGATGCTAGCTGTTCATCTTCCTGACAGAGGACGAATTCACTGTGCAGCAGTGCATTCTGTTCTGTTATACGAGTCAGAAAAACGGTCATTAAGATACGGGTACTTGCAGTTTGCTAGTATTCGATCATAGATATTCTTGAAAGCATTGCTCGTATATTTAGAGGCTACAGAGTGATCAGTCCCAGAGTTAAGTATGTGGTACTTGGTAAATATTTCAAATTGGCTTTCGAGATGGTAAATCTTCATCAAGTAAGGTTTGGACAAATTTTATATATTCTCAACCACATCTCAACTTGTCGCGCAGTATCTGGCGTAGGTCTATAATAGAAGAGAGTTAGAGGTGGCCAGATCAAAGGATGGCACACATCAATGAAGTCATGGACTATTAGGATAATCCATTTAGGTAGATTCAAACAGTCGGATTGGAGTTTACGTAATAGTCTTAAATTGAGATGACTCAGAATCATCCTCAATGACGCAGGTTCATACACTATCTTCTGTTAGTTCTTGAATCCCAAGATCGCTTACCTTTAATTTTCTACTGAAACTGTTATCACTTCTAGTACTCGTGGATTTATCTTGATTATTTTATCTTACATTGCTCATATAGTGTAGCAACTTGAACCGACCCATGTCAGACTTTACGTTGTGTATGATCGACTGACTGACAGCTGTATCAGCCAGTGTTATAATATTCAACGTTTCTTTAGGTAACCAAAATGTAGCAGAATTTACTTAACCATCCCAGTGCTTTTGAATATTTTAGTAATATGTCGTCTAGCCGACCTTATAATGCTCTTTTAACCACGTAATCATGCTGCCATGTGGAGAGATTTATGATATTCAAGTACACGAATGTGACAATCGTTAAGTGAAATAAGAGTGGTTCGTAGAATTGTTGAGTTCTATGTTTTACACAGTTGTGTGTACTTGTCCTAGGTTATTATACTCATAATTTGGAAAGGAGATAAGTATTATTCTTTTTAACTAGTTAATCAATTAATAATACACTATAGAGCTTCTGAATAAGTATGCTTTCTTATCAGTTTGTATTTAATTAAATGTCATATAGTTATTTGATTCTTTTTTCTTTATAGAAACACCGAAATCAACAATTCTATGGTGGTGAATTGACCTATCGAGAAAGATGGGGAGGAAATACTTGGTGGTGAAACTGTATTGTTTCCTTTATCCTTATAATCAATACGTTAGCTAATTGAAATAAATTAGTACATCTTGTAATCATACTTTTTTTAACCGTATAATATAGGATAGGATACTTAATATAACGTTATATGATATACTCTACTAATTATCTAGAAAACTGAATGTTTTCGATCATATCAAAACTTTAAATTTACTCAGCTTACAAAATTTAAGATTATTGAAAACTTTCAAATAAGTTCATTTTTGTGGAACTAAAGTTTCGATAGTTGTTCAAATTTTAGTTACAACATAAACTATACTTTTAATTTTGATTTAATCATTGTAACATAAAAGTAGTCAAAACACATCTTGATAAGATTAGAATATTGTATTCGATCCAATGTGTTCCCAGACAATTTGATTTTTTTAACGAACGGTTTTAGCGTATAAATGTAACAAGAGACTTCTGTTGACTATCTCCAAACAAATGCTTGACAGAAAAACAAAAACAATCAATGGGAAAACATTCAAAGTTATTATTGTGTAATTAATTTGTTGCCCAGATAAGTCTGGCGATGATAAAAAGCAATCTGGTTTCCTATGAATTCTTATTACTGGTACCCATCAAAAGACAAGTATACTGCGCGATATTTAAGACTAAATTATAGTTCGGTTTTTAACAAGAAAGTTGTTGAAATTAAAAGAGCTAGTCAAAATGTCAGCGTTATATTATCTGTATTCCCGAAATGTTGCTGTCGGTTCAGTCAATTACAACGTAGAACTTCATTCGTACGTACATTAGTTCAGGTTATCATACCGCATTAGCAAAGAAGGGCACTTGTCAGTTCAAATCCCCTAGTGGTAGATGTGGTAGAAGTATTTGCGGAAATAGAGATTAAGCTCGAAGAATTATTCAAGAATAATTCAGTGAATTGAGTTTATAAAGCGAAAGATAGATGTAAAGAATTCAAAAGATTGCGCTTTGAGAGAACACAAAGAATCGATGCACCAGAGCCACTGCAAACGATTTTGAGCCATGTCATATATCGTCTAACCATCCGTTACTATTGTCTCGTAGACCCCAACCAGGTAGTCTGCACCTAACATGGCTCAGCCCACTTGTCAATGACTGCATAGATTTGGTTTGGCTGCCTCTAGAGTTTTTCCAGCGTACCCCCACAACACAAGACATAACTCGTCGAGTCATTTGGTATTTGGGCATGCGTAACACATGTCTCAACCACCTCAAATGATGAAGTTTCAATACTCCATCTACGGATTTGTCATTCCTACCTAGCACTCTTTTCATAACGACTGCATGCTTACTTGGTGATCCCAGGATACACGAGTAATGCTTTTTGGACATGTATAATCGAATACTAATAACATACGGATATCCTCAACTCTTACCAGCCATGTTTCACAGCCATGAAGTAAGGAGGACCAAACTGCTTGGGAGTAGACTCGTCCATTAGTTGGTAGATAGATATCTCGCTTACGCCATAAATGAGGCAAGTTGGCAAAAGCCGATCGAGCTTTCTGTATGCGTGCTGAGATTTCGTCACACACCAGACCATCAACACTGATAAGACTACCAAGATAAGTGAAGCAGTCAACAGGTTCGACTACTTCACTCCCTATCACTAGTTCAGGTGCCGATACAAGCCGATCTTGAAGCAACATTTTGCATTTCGACGGGGAGAATCGCATCCCGAACATGCTTGCATTGTTACATACGGTAATCAGAAGACTGCATCTTGTCAGCATCTTCATCAAGTAGAAATATGTCATTGGCATACTCCAAGTGAGCAAGCGAGTCTCCTGGTAGAAGGTTCCCCCTTTGAAAATTAAGACGCAGATAATGTTATCTCTAAAACCATTTCAGTGACAAATTTGAATAGGAATGGAGAGAGTGTACAGCCTTGACGAACACCACTAGAATTGATCGATTCCGATAAAAGTTCACCATAAGGTGTGACTCGACCAGTAGTGTTAGATTGGAAAGCCTGTATGAGGTCAGTTTATTTCCTTGGTTCTTGTTTCAAAGGCCTTACCAGCGGAGACGGAAATCCTTGAGGTAAAGTAAGGTATGATAATTTTAGGGTCGACCTTTTCTAACTCCTTCCTTCCTTGGGAGAAGGCAGCATCGCTGCAGATGCTAGTTCGAGGGAAACACCTTACTGCTGTCACAGCCCTCTACAGTCAGCAGTACGACTTCGCCCTTAGACCTTGAGTAGCTGTTTTTAGTCTGATCATTTTCCAATCGACCTGCCTGGCATGGTAGAACACTTCAGAAACATATGTTCTAGCCAATATAGCTCGGTTGGGTCATCATGATAGGCAACCCCGACCACCACGTTAAGGTAGCAGCCACGGTCGGGCCTTTTCCATCGCTTTCGCTATCCAAGACTGTTCGCGATGATTGCATACGCTTTTTGTCAGCCTGCACTTGTGACGACCTCGCTCTTAGGCTTTTTCAGAGCCAGGCAGAATGAGTTTCCGAGCATCTATTAGTTTGGTAGATTCTACTGAGATTTATTGCATTCGTTTAACCTCATGGATTACCCTACTAGCAGATATCACTGCTGTTTACACAGCGTTTTCATATCGTTCCAAGCTGTCTCGGAATGAGAATCACTTACGCGGCTGCTTAACTATTTTTCTAGTTGCTCCTGAATTATATTCTTAGCTATGCTATCATTAAGTAGAACCCTAAGAGGTTTCCTCACAGTGTCTTTCATACGTCCGTTATGGCTCGAAAAAATACACGCTCGCACTAGAGCATGGTATGCATCTGAACACTGTGCTCTAGAATGAGCGACTTTCTACTACCGATCCCCTCCATAAGTGGCTGATAGCGATGTGATTTAGTTGGGTCCAGCGTTGTGACGACTTTGGGGGTCGCCATGTCAAAAGATGTTTATCCTTGTGTTTAAAGTTAGTATTTGCTAGAAATAGGCGGTTGTCTGAGCATAGCTGCAACGGCCGGTCGCTATTATCTGTTCTATGAACCGCGATACCATAAGATCCACCCAGGTGTCTTTCCTTTTTACTCAGTCTACCTACTTGAGCATTGGTCACCCACCACTATTACTACATCAGAGCTCTTGACTTTTGGAGGAGGTTGGAAAGCCTCGTGTGAAATTCATCTCTTACTTAATTTGAGCTGTAGTCAGTGAGACGGTAGGCAGACACGAAGAAGAGGCAACAGCGAGTGTCCCTATCTTTACGAGTCCTCACTGTCCCTTTTAGTCGGACAACGCACAAGCTATTATCAACTGGGATCCAGTCTAGGAGATCTAGTTCTTCCCTACGACTCAATGCTATACCTGCACCAGCGAGACCCCGAGAAGCAGCATCAGGGCTTTCAGATAAACACAGAATAAATCGAGTCGCTTCTTTATATTGACATGGTGACGTCATTGAATGGCGCTACTCGGATCCTGTATGCGCGTTTCGGAGACGCAGCATACATCGATGGCGCGAGGTTCTAAATTCTTAGCTAATGAAGCCTGTTGCCCTACTCAACTCAATGCACGGAAACTGAAAGCTCCAACATGTAGTTTAGTACGGGGTTTAGGAGACCAGGATTAACGTTTCGTGAACTCGCATCGTTCGTATTAGCGGTGCGGTATGATAAAGGACTGGGAGAAGAGTTAGTCGTGAAAATAAGGGGGATGTTACGTTTTTTAGGAAGGATTTGATTTTGACCAATATGGTCTCGTGTACTGGTACGGGTAAGATGGCGGATATCTTAGAGACCTGGGAGCGTGACCGCAGAGACCGATCACGCTCTCCAATCGACCTGCCTGGTATAGTACCATATTTTCCAGCGAATGTTTCTCTGTCGGGTCGTCACGTTCGGGCCTATCGTCTGTCTCATAAGTATTTTGTAAAATGAATAGGTCGAAATAAACAATGAAACAACAACTAATAATCTGATCGAGAGTTTTACTTATGACACTAATCTTTCACCGAATATTTGAAATATCATGCTTCAGAATAAGGCACAAACTCATGTATTCTTTCAGATCTAACTTTTAACTCTCGTACGTTAAGAAAGTATTTTCCATCTCTGTTAATTATTATTTTTTCATTCTTTGATTTAGTAGTCTTTTCTTAATGACGATTTTCGTGTTTACTGTCATTTTCTTCTTATTTGCTTTGCTTTTATAAAATTTGGCCATTTTAGCTGACACAAATAAGTTTCAATTCTTGCTTTGTTAATATCTACCTGTCAGAGGATGAAATTAGTTCTGCACTATATGCCTATAGGTACAGTAAAAGGTTTATTGAGGCAGTTTACATTGTTTATTGTAAGTTTATTGAAATCTACCTTCATCGACCTTCATATATACTGTGTTGTGTAAATTCATGGACTGAATGTACTTTTTGAATATAGAAAACATGAAATTATTAGTGTTGAATAACAGCAATGATTGATAGGATTCTTACTCTGACTCTATTGGCTTAGTTATTTAAAAAGTTCCTGTTCGATTGATTGAATTCATCTAATATAATGTATCACAGACTAGTTATTGTTGAATAACATTGAAATGATTTGTTCTGGAATGATCAAGACCCGACGTCAACACTTTATGAAAGTCTTATTTATTAAAAGATTACTTATGGAGTAGATACTTCTCCACATTTTTTAATGTTTCAGTAGTTACGGGATATTTACTTTTCAGCACAAATTTTACATTTTTTATTCTTATTTAAAATGAGAATCCATAGCGGGAAATTAAGAGCACCTCAAAAAAAACGCAAATCGTCTCTAGACTTTTTAAAACAAGTGAAATGCGCAAACAAATATTTTTTACTAGTGTAACGTTTTTAATGAAGCGTGACTGACACATAAAAACTCTGACATGAGTGTACTCAACTTATATAATTAAATCAATGTCCACTAGATTCTTCAGTGGCACATATCCGTGATCCTATTCAGGTAAGAAGCTAACATATTTAGGTCTTACAACAAGCATAGTGCTATTCTGTCCCATTTAACAGAGATGCTTGAATCCAC